TCTGTGAGAGCAGCTGGTTGGTACACCCAAATACACAGAGAAGACAAACTGAGAGTGGTCATTCGAGTCAGTAGGTCACTCCCAGCAGGTTCTTCTCTGAACTCTGCTTCCGTTGTTGTATCAGCTGTCTGTCTGTTAAATACTTGTAGTGGGAATCCCTCTAGATTCCCCACAGCACCTGTGCTTTCCTTGTCTGGGTGTGTGGAATAGGACAGCCCAGCTGGTGACTAAATGATAAGATGAAGTGCCTGTTGCTTGGATTTTGTTGTCATGGGCTGCTTCCTCTTCCCCTCCATGTCACTGAATGCAGGAAGATGTGTGCCCTTGGTGTCCATTATTATCACTCACTCAGGAGCTCCCCAGCATCAAACACAACTAGAAATGTGCTTTGGTGTAAAGTTCACCACTTTTCTTTTTTTCTTTTGGGAGAGGTTTTACTACAGGGCGCATGTGCTCGCCAGAAAGAGAGAGAGAGACAGAAAGCGAGAAATCACCCCCCCAGGGGGGATGGCCACGCCACAGTCCCTTCTCCTCTATTCTCTCGGGATCTTGGGCATGCATGCACAGGCACCCGGTGTGAGTTTAAGCCACCGGGTTTGAGACTCAAACCGCAGTCGACAACATGGTAGCCATTACGCCATGTGCTAGTTCCCTAGTGCACGTACTTTTCTATGCCCACGTCAAGGTGCTGTGTGTAGTAAGATGGCCACAGCAGGAAGTCTTGGTTAGTACATAAGGGATAGGTTTGTTTTCACTGGGAATCATACTATATGAAAGGGGAGACACATGTGTAATCACTTTAGTTCAGCCACATGTACATACACAGGATCTTCAAAAAGTTCATGGAAAATGTATATTACTAAAATATTATGTGGGTTTTGATTTTTTGGGCACCAAAATAAACTTGTACTTTGGCTTCATTTTCCCACAAACTTTGTGAAGTCCCCTCATACTTTAGTAACAAATATTCTTGGTTTGCCTGAACCCAGTATGTTCTTGAATTTATAGTGCCATTTGTTTTTTGATATGCTAGCCAGTTGTGTTTCAGATTTAATTGATAACAAGTCCAATAGCTAGCATGTTGGCATTGAAAACGGGAGATCGTCCATTGATGGAGACCTCTGTGAGAAACTTACCCCATTTGTAAAATTTCCTGGTGAGGGACCAGCAGTGGGTGTTATGGCTATGTCGTTAGACTTCCATGTAGTTGACCATGGTTTGAGTCCCAGACCCAGCCAGCGGCTTAAATTCACACCGGATGTGTGTGCATGTGTGCCCAAGATTCCAAGAGGAGAAGGGGGGAGAAGGGATTGCGGTGTGGCCATTCCCCCCTGGAGGGGCTTTCTGTCTGTCTCTGTCTTTCTGGTGAGCACTTGCACCCTATAGCAAAAACCTCTCCAAAAAAAAAATTTGTGGTGAAAGTAGATCCTGTGTGTATATCAGGTTGAAAGATTTTTTTTAAAGAATTATTTTTATTTAATTTTATTATTAAATTTTTATGTATTTCCAGAGAGACACAGAGAGAGAGAGAGTTGAGTGATTGAGGGAAAGTGAGAAAGCAAGCCTCCAGGTCCAGGACTTGAACAATAGTCGGCCACATGGGTGTCCAGGGCCCTTAACCACCACGCCACCTGCTGGCCCCCGGGTTTTAGTTTTTTTAATTGCCATGGAAATACACCTCTAAACTGACAGCTGAAAGTTTCAGGGTTTATGGTGGTTATGTATCCCTAAGGTACTGTTGCCAGTACAGGGAACGTGGTTGAGGATATTGGAGGTAATTGAAATCATCAGTTTGCAGTCACCTGTGCCGATTCCCAAGCGCCCCCTTGGCATTTAGCATTTAAGATCTGTTACATAGCAGATGAAATGGAGAATCATCAGACCATTCTTTCAGAGCTTTTTAGAGAAGACTGCACAACTGGTATTTTGGGGGAATAAGGAATAAATTTTGAAATTGTTCTATAGCCAGTGTCTCACTGTTACTCAGGCTGTCTAAACTAAATAATCACTTCTGGCTGAGATTTATATCCATTTTATTCTGCCTCTGGCAAAAATTCAAAAGTGGCTCCTCTCCCAGCCTTCCCCCCGCCCAGCTTAATTTGTCAGTTCCATTCTTAAACATTGTGCATAGATGTCTGGTTTCCTGAGCCAACTCTTCTCTTTCTGAATGGGGTGATGCTATGTTTTTAAGTTACTGTGTAGGTGACAAGGACGTTTTACTCTTTGAGTACTCATACTGTCTAGTCAATACAAACTTTATAGAAGTAGCTTTGTCTGATTCAGCATTGGGAGATGATTTTGGTTTTTAGGGTTAAACATTTTTAAAAGGAATTGAGACTTCAGAATGAGACCCTCCTGCCTACTCATGAAATAAAGGCCTACCTGACCACTCGCTGCTTCTCAGGAGTTCTTCTACCCTCCACTTCTTCCTTGGAGACATCTAAGGTTTGGAAAGTGAGACTCAAGGAAACTCCTCCTCCTTACCAGGGTTTTCTTGGTGCCTGAGTAAGTGTTACTTGTCGCTGTTTAAAATATATCTTCAGCATTTTCCTTCCCATAGAAACTCAGTTCTTCCAAGCCGTGAGGCTGTCTTGTGACATTTGGGATTATCACTACTCAGAATACTGTCAGTCCTATACCTTTATTTCTCTGTAAAGTAGTAGTCTGATGGGGCCAGGATGGCAGGCAGGCTTGAAAGGTAATTGATAGACTGCTATTGTTCTTGGCTTTTTCCATGTCTTGGAGATCAAGTGAAAAGGGAGCTTTGGCTTCAAATTATTGCAGTTTTTTTGGCCATTCTTCCCCCTTGGGAGGCTGAAATGACAGTATGTATGAGCTGGTCCTGCTGTGTTCATATCCCGTCCTCCTTCCTAGAATTCAGTCTGAAACTGAGACACAGTGGGAATACCTAGCTCCCTGTAACCTGATTGAAGGCTTCGTGTTCTCGTCTTCATAGTTAAACCTAAGCCTCAGTAAAGTACTTCATGTTACTAACAAGAAATTAGTCACTTTGTTTTTCTCCCAGTAAAGCTATGTTTTGCTATGACTTGAAAGGTCACTGTAAACGCAGAATGTAGGGGCCAGCCAGGTGGCAATGTGGTTAAAGCCGCTGGATCGCACATGACTAACTGTATAGTTTGAGTCTTGGACCCAGTGGCTTGACAAATACTGGGCGTGTGTGCATGCATGTTTAAAATCCTGAGCGGAGAGTGGAGGAGAGGGGATTATTGTATGGCCATCCCATCTAGGGGGTGCTTTCTCAGTTTCCCTCTCTCTCTGGCAAATGCACACACCCTGTAGCAAAACTAAAAAATGAGGGAGGGGGTTGGGCAGCCGGATCCCCATGGTCGATTTTGCATTGAGTCTTGGACCTTGTGGCTTGAAAATCACACTGGGTGTGTGGGTGGATGGGTTCCCAAAATCTTAGGAGAGTGGAGGGACAAGGGACTGTGGTGTGGGACCACATCCCTGGTGGGACTTTTCTCACCCTTTTTGGTGAGTACATGTGCCCTATGGCAAAAATCTTTAAAGAAAAAAAATATATATATATGTGAGTGTTTAAGGATATGTACATACTTTTGGAACATGCTTATATTTAAGGGGCTGATGTTTGGGGACAAATTGTATGTTTCCATGTGTGTTTGTGCATGTATGTTCAGTGTGCTGCAGCATCATTAAACTCAGCTGTTTATGTTCCTGAGTCTGGAAAATTTTAAATAATTTGTTGATTTGCAGGCGCATGATCTGTCTGATTTGTTTTAACCCCTTTGTCCAGAACATTTCTCCTGTCTTATACTCAGACAGACTTGTACTTTTTTAGAGTCTTAACAAGCAGTAGTGTGGAGTGAGGACCAAAAATGTGCTGGAGGGGCAATATAGGTTGACAGGGTACCCACTCTTGTCAGGAGGGATTTATTTACTAGATTTCAGTAGACTATAAGATTATACTGAAATTTCTTTGGATCAGTTTGTAATTGTTCCACTAGAGGGCAGTGAAGGAATAGTCATAACAGAAACCAGACTTTTTTTTTTTTCCCTTCCTTTTTAAAATTTGCCAAAGGGCATGTATGATCCTGGAGAAGAAAAGTAGAAAAACCACCACACAGGGGGCATGGTCATCTCTAGTCCCTTAGTCTCCATTTCTCTCTTCTTTTGGGACTTGGGGCACACATGTACAGATGTGCTCCCAGCTTGTTTCTCAAGCCCCAGGGTCTGGGACTTGAACAGCACAATGGGCCATGTGGGATCCAGTTGCCTTAATCACTAGTCGCTACCACCTGGCCCTGGACCATTCCTTTTTTCTAAAGAACAGGATGAGGTTACCTTCAGCTCAAGTAAAGGTGGACAGTATCCATAGTTAGGCTTATTTGAATCCTGACTTTGTTTTTATTTATTCAGAGAGAGAAAAAGCACCCATGCATGAGTGCATGTTCACAGCCCCAACAGGGTCTTGACATCAGATCCACCCTCAGCTTCAGCCAGCCCTGGGTCCTGGGCATGTGTGTGCCTTGTGTACTCAGGTCTTTGCACATGAAACTGGAACCTTTGCATGTCAGTCAACCTTACTGAGCATTGTGTTTTACCACTCCGCCACTGTCTGACCCCCAGTGGGATCTTTATTTTATTTTATTTTTTGCTATAGGGCGCATGTGCTTGCCAGAGAGAAGGAGTGGGAAAGTGAGAAATCACCCTGTGGGGGAATGGCCATGCCACGTTTCCTTTTCCTCCATTTTCCTCTCAGGATTTCAGATATACATACATAGGCACCAGTATATTTTTAGGCTGTCGAATCTGGGACACTAACTAGTTGGCCATGTAGGATTCAGCCACTTTAACCTCTGTGCCATCTGCTGGCCGTTTTATTAAATTCTGATGTCTGAGTAAACCGAATCTATCCAAGCCAGTCTTTTCTGGCATCTTTTCCTTGGCTTAGGTGCCCATCTGTTGGGAAGAATGAACATGAATGCTTTTCTGAGTCTCTTTCCTTTCCCCCAACCTAGCTTGCCAGCAAAGCCCGGACGGAGAAGGAGGAGAAGCTGAGCCAGGCCTATGCAATCAGTGCTGGAGTCTCCCTAGAAGGCCAGCAGCTCTTCCAGACCATCCACAAGACGTGAGTCTTGGGGGACCCATGGCTTCCTTGTTTAGGGGATGATGCTGCCTGACTGTGCTGACTCTGCTGAATGTGGCAGCTGACATTCAGGTGGCCGTTTTCCTGAAAGTCTCCTGGGAAAGCTAGGTAGTGTTTTGGTAATATCTTGGCATTCAGAGAAGTGAGTGCTGCTTGCCTCCTACCCACAGAGAAAAATAGTGTAATCGTGGACAAGTCTTCTTTTCTGAGCTTCAGTTTATAGTCTATAAAGTGTAGTTTTGGACTAGATTATCCCTAAGAGTCCCTTCCAACCTAGTAATCCATAACTTAGAACTAGTGATTTCTTTCTCTTGTATTATTTTGTTGTACATTTCTCTAAAAGCTGATACATTTTTAGTAAGGGAAAGTTAAATCCATATTACTTTTCCCAATTGTACATGGAGATAAATGGGAAGTTAGGAAGAGCAGAAGGCCACCTTCTTACCACCTCTTAAAAGACATTTTGTCACAGCAGAAGTCATTTAACTCTCCCAGCTTCCCTAGCTGCTGAAAACCTGGAACATTTGACATCCCCCCCCCCCCCCCCCGCTGCCTTCTGTTACCCTATTTAACCACCCTGGGTCTGGTGCACAGATGGCAGTTGGCATCAGAGCTGTTTGAGGCCATGGTGTGAGTATCTGAACATTGACAGGTATGTGAAGGAACTCTCTTAGTAGCATAAGCTGCCCTGGGGTTCCCCACATGTGAGCTGGAATGGGTTTTCCCAATCTGGCAAGTGTCCAGCTATCTGAAAATTGAGAGGGGCCAGTTTGAGGAGCAGTTCTCATTATGGGTGGTAGAGGGGGCAGGGCATAGACCACAGTAAGATAGGTGTTTTTTTTTTTTTTTTTTTTTTTTTTAAGAGAGATTTTTGTTTTAGGGCACATGTGCTCACTGGAGAGACAGAAATAGACAGAGAGACAAAAACTGAGAAATCACCACTCCCCCCCCACCCCAGGAAGGATGGCCATAGGGCACATGCACTTACCAGAGAGACAGAAAGTGAGAAATCACCCCCTCGGGGGGGATGGTCACGCCAAATTCTCTTCTCCTCCATTCTCCTCTTGGGATCTTGGGTATGCAGGCACATGTGCCCAGCATGACTTTTAAATTGCCAGGTCCAGGACTCGAACTATGGTTGACTGTGTGGGAGTCTAGTGACATAATCATTACACTATCTACAGGTCCCTCTCCTGACTTTCTTTCTTTTTTTGGAGAGGCTTTTGCTATATAGGGCACATACGCTCACCAGAAAGAGAGAGACAGAGCAAGACAGAGAGAGACAGAGTGAAAACAAGAAATCACCACCCAGAGGGGTGGCCATAGCGCAATCCTTTCTCCTCCATTCTCCTCTTGGGATCTTGGGCACGCACGCACACACACCTGGCGTGAGTTTAAGCCACCAGGTCCGGGACTCAAACCGCAGTTGACTACATGCGAGTCCAGCGACATAGCCATTATGCTAACTACTGGTTCCCCTCTCTCCTGACTTTCTAAAGGTACTGTTTCTCTCTATGCCAAAGCTTGGCAAACTGCACCAGAGCGTCAGATCTGCCCGTTTGTTTGTACTATCTGTGGCTGCTTTTGCACTAGAGCTACAGAGTTCAGTTGTGAAGCCTCTGGTCTACAGAGCCTAAGATATTTACTGTGTGACCCTTGGTGGACAGAGTTTGCCAGTTTCCGCCCTAGGCTGCTAAGTAATGTCTAGGGGCCTGACCCTGCTAGTTTATTTGTAACTGTATTTGGTTTGGACTTTTTTTTTGGGGGGGGGGGGGATGTTTTCCCCTTAGGGGGTTTTGACTTATTTCACACACTGGGAACCGTCAATTGAGTTAAGCTGCAAAGACTGCAAAACACAAAAATCCTCTTTGTTACCTAAAAATCTCCCTCCCAATTTTTTTTTGGGGGGGGAGAGATTTTCACTGTAGGGCGCTTGCGCTCGCCAGACAGACAGAGACATAGAGACAAAGCGAGAAATCACCCCCCAGGGGGGGATGGTCACGCCGCAATCCCTTCTCCTCCATTCTCCTCTCGGGATCTTGGGCACGCACGCACACGCGCCCGGCGTGAGTTTTAAGCCACCGGGTCTGGGACACGAACCACGGTCGACTACGTGGGAGTCCAGCGACATAGCCATTACGCTAACTGCTGGTTCCCTGGTTTGGACTTTTGAGGCTGCTACCATGTTTTTTTATCAGGTCCCTGATGCTTCAGTCAATTCTGGGCTCTCCTTGGAATAAATGTGCATCCGTTTCATTGCTTTCCTAGCTTTTGGTGCTCAGGGAATGTTACTTGTCTATTTCTCTCTGTGAGCTGTTGGCAGCTAATTGTTGGCTGAGTTGGTGAGCTGGGAATTTGTGATCAGCCTTAATGGACTTATTTATTCATTAGGCTAAAGGTGCAGGATGCCCCCAATAAATGATATTTTATTTGCTTTCTTCTCCTTTCAGCATTAAAGACTGTAAATGGCAAGAAAAAAACATCGTAGTCATGGAAGAAGTTGTTATTACACCCCCATATCAAGTGGAAAACTGTAAAGGCAAAGAGGGGAGTGCACTGAGCCATGTACGCAAAATAGTAAGTAAAGGAGCCATGCCACTCTAGGGAAAGGATGGTTCCTTGTTCTCTGTCCACCAGCATCAGAACAGGTCATTGTGTTATAGTCCCTGTCTCCTCTCACACAGCCCTGCCTGGCTTCCCAGCTCCCCTGTACTGTGAGGCTTTGCAGCTGTGACTTGGACACTTCTCTGGGGATGGAGCCACTGGGTAGTGTAGAACAAAGTGAGTGGTCAGTCCTGTGTCCTTTACCGTGTGACTTTTTGGAATTAGTCAAACCATTCCATAGAATTAGGCCTGAGCAGTTCCTTGCTTCCCAGGCTTGATTCTTCATGAACCATTCAAGAAAGGGCTGGTTGGTGTAAATTAGTTGTCATTGGTGTCTCTGACCCTACTTCTATCATCTGATTTTCTAGATTGAGTTACATCATTTGTAAAAACAAATCTAATTTTTTCCCCTTTTGATAAGCATTTGAGAGACCAACACTGTGGATGTAAGAAGGATGATTATACTAAAATTCCCCACCAGCTTTGCATTCTGCATTTGTGTGAAGAAGAGAGGAAGAATATAACTCATCATAATCTCCCCTCACTTGACACTTTTGTTCATGGATTCAACTTCTCTAGCATGTCTTAGCTTCAAAAAAAAAAAAAAAAAAAAGTTGCTGAAATAAGAGGTGACCACCTACCTTGTGATTGGGAAGACTAGTAGACAACAGGGGCGAAGGCTTCTGAATAGTCCGTGAGCTGGATAGCCAGAGGGGGCTATTGAAGCTGGACCAGACTGGGAGACCTCGCTTGCTCCTCTCCTTTTCTGACATGGGCTGCCTGGTCTCTTTCAGGTTGAAAAACATTTTAGAGATGTGGAAAGCCAAAAGATACTGCAACGTACACAAGCCCAGCAACCACAGAAGGAGGCTGCCCTCTCATCCTGAGTCCACACACCAGAGGACTCTTCCAACATCAGCCAAGGAGGCGGCGGTGGTGGCTTCAGCGGAGGCAGGCCGGGGGAGGGAAGGGATCCTATATTTCCTGTTGGCTCTTGTTAACAAAGGGTCAGCGTTTCCAAATCTTAGACTTGAACAAAGAAAACACCCAACAAAAAAAGAACAAGAGAATAATTTAAGAGTTGAATCATTACTTGACTAACAGACTTCGGTCCACCATGTCCTTTTCACAGCCCTCTTCTGGAACAGTCACCTTGTTAATTTTATTTTTGAAAAGTCCTTTCCTGCTCTGTCCTTTCATTTCTGACTTTCCTTTTCTAGTCTGTCCCTGCCATTCTGTTTTTATAAGTGGCTTCACTTACCTTCTGAGTGATTAAAAGGAACTTTTACATCTTTTCCTCCAAAATAAAAGTAACAAGCTGACTGTGATTCTTAAGTTGAGACCAGAGCAGAAGACAGAGGTCTCACTTTAAATTTTTGTCCCTTCTTTTTTTTTTTTTTTTTTTTCTTTTTTTTTTTTTTTTTTTTTTTTTTTTTTTTACGCAGGGCATGGCTTGAATTTTTTTTATTTTTCTTAACTTTAAATATATATATGAAAATATATATTAAAATGTTCTCTAAATATTTTCTGCTTCTTGCAGGTCTCTTTACTAGATCATGGCCGCTCTTTCCGGTTTATCCCTCTAAAATTACAAATGCATTACCCTCCCCACCACCCACAGCCAGGCAACTCACCTGACTTAGTTCATAGCAGGAATCTCTTGCAGCACTTTGTAGAGCCAGTGTATGCAGATGGGATTTGGCTCTGAGGGTTCCTGATGGCTTTTTAGTCTTTAATGGTGTGTGTACCAGTCTCACGTTTGGCCCAAACCTCAGGATTCTCTCTTTGCCTTTTGTCTTACTTCATGGTACTAGAAGAAGCTCCTCGCCACTCTCTCCAAGTGGGAGAGTCAGCTGCCCTTTTTCCTGTGCCTCTGCAGGAAGAACTCCTCTGCATGGCACATCTCAGCCTCTCCTTGAGGGATGATTTTCTTTTATAAGAAACCTTGAGTCCATCTATCCTGACCTCTCTTAAATCTCTACCTAGAGCCTCTAGCCCAGGAGAATCTTGGGTGACTATAGTTTCTCTTCTTGCCATCTTCCTGCTTTTGTGCCCCACCTCATACCTCCCCTCCCCTGAATTTTACAAGCTTATGACAGTTTGTATGTGCTCAGCCAATGGGCAGAAAACCTGGGAAGAATTCTGGACTTTAGCCCACCAGTTTGTCTGGTTTGACTAACCTGCTGAGAGCTAAAATTGGCACCTGTTGCCCCATGCCTTCAGGGTGGTCTCCTGGGGCAGAGTGTGCCACCATCTGAATATCAGGCACTGAGTGGGACGTGGGTGATGCTCATGTGACTGGCTAGAGCTTTGGGGGTTGGGTGGGGTATTTTTTATTTTGGCCATGATCTCTTTCCCCTTCCTTTTTTTTTTTTAATTAAATAAATGGATCAAAATTAAATAATTCAAGCCCTGCCTTCAAACTGAAAAAATATTTTTTTTTTAGTATTGTTTAGCAAAAACAATAAAACCCAAATTTTTTTAACCATCACTCATGTCTCAGGTTTGTGCATACTTTATACGCCAGAGGGAAGGGATCCAGGTATCCAGGGTTTGATCTTGCCCTGTATAGTCTCTGCTTACTGCTCTTGACCCTCTCTTTTGTCAGATCCTCGAAATTCACCCAGAAGTGCAGTAAAACTGTAATTAAAGAAGGGGATCTAGGGTTTAGAGCTATGTGTAAGTGAAATGTGGGGGGAAAGGGCATGTGTACATTCATGAGACCATTCTTTAGAGGACTGTTGGGAGGTGGAAGAACTGAGGAGTGAATATTTCAGATCTGTCTGCCATTTGTTAGAACTTGATATAAAGTACCAAGCCTCTGATTTAGTGTGCATGAAAACATGTTGACTTTTGGGAAAGTTAAAAGGAGACAAGACCTTACAATATCTAGACAGTCTATAACGAAAGAACTCAAGGTGTTTTGTTTTATTTTATTTTTTTAAAGAGTTATTCATTTAATTTTATTTATTCATTTATTTATTTTAATCTGACCAGAGAGAGGGACACACAAAGAGAGAGAGAGAGAGAGAGTGAGAAAGCAAGCCACCAGGTTTGGGACTTGAACTATGGTTGGCCATGTGGGAGTCCAGCACCTTAAACACCACGCCACCTGCTGGTCCCCAGGGTGTTTTAATTAACAGGAAGCAGCAACCCTGGGAGGAAGCTTTTTTGTCACATGCCTTTTGTGTTCTATTCTCATTAGTCTCCAGTCTGAAGAGGGGGGCACTTAGCAGGAAGCACTTTTGACTTCTTATTTTAGGTTCTAAAATGATACAGAGAACTTGAAGTTCAAGAGACAGAGTTAGCGTAGTTGGAAGGCAGGCAGTGGAGTATATAAAAGAAAGAGCAGGGATCTTGGAGACAAATAGTTGGGTCTAAATTCTCACACCTCCTTCCTTACTTAGTGACTGGAGAAATCATTTCACCTGTCTGATCCTTAGTTTCCCCAAATGTAAACATGGAATTAATGCCTATCTCCTAGAACTAATGCGAAGGATAAATAAGATTTAAATGCGTAACAAAGGTGTTCTGTAAATGTTAATGTTAGCTTGGTCCTAGTGTGGTTAAAACATGGATTGGATTAGATGGTTTCCATACATGCCAACTGTTTTAGAAACCTTTGTTTAGATGAGATTTTAAGTGAGGCTAATATGTTAAGTGCCTGGGCAGGAGTAAGGGTCTTTGCAGCCCTGCCCTCAGTCTCTCACTTACTTTTATCCCTACTCTTTCTCTGGAGTCCTGAGGAATGTCATTATAATTTGAAAACTATTCTTAGGGACTGTCCCTGTCTTGTCCTAGCTGCCCTCCTACCAAAAAGAAAAAGGAAAAGGAAAAAAAAAAAAAAAACACAGAAAACCACTCCTTTTTAAGGAAGATTTGAGCTTCATGAAGGCCAAGTGACTTCTCCACAGTGCCTCAGTGACTCTGGTGGCAGAGCTGACGTAGAACCTCAGGCCTTATCTACTGGTGGGCTCCTAGCGTGCTGTGGTTTTCCCAACTGAGGGTGTGTGTACTGCTCACTTTGGTTTACCAGGTTTAGGATAGAACATAGAGGACACTAGTAAGAATGAGAAATTGCATTCAACGTTGAAGGGTTCAGAAATGTGTGTTGCACGGAGGTTGCCTCTGTGGTGAAACATGTACAGGTAGTTGCACAATGTTTTCTTAGCTTTGAAGCAGTCTCTTTACTCCTCAAATACACACACATTTCTACACCCTGCCATCTGATCACCTCCCTACCATAGCATGCACACGTCCTTGGGGTTACTGCTATTTAGAGAGTCCAAACAGTATGGTGTAAAAAGTGCTATTACCACAATGAGTTGACATTGAATATGCACTGGGTAAGTCTGGGCAGCTCACTGCTGATAGCCATTTGGTATTTTGAAAATTGCTCAAGCACTTCAATATGAGATCAGTGGTAAAGGCTCCTTGACTTTTTGTTTGTTTGTTATTGGTTGTGTATCTTGTCAGAAAGAGAAAGGGAAAGTAAGAAAGCATCCTTTGGGGGATTGCCACACTACAGTCCCTATTCTACCCTCTCTTCAGGGTTTTGGGCACACACACACATGCACCTGGCTTGCTTTTCAAGTCATCAGGTCCAGGACTTAAACTGCTCAGTCAGCTCTGTGAGTTCCAGCTCCATAAACTCCATGCCACTGGCTGACCCTCCTTGACCATTTTGAAGCTAAAATGTGTGCATCTTGAGCTGTTCCCCTGTGAGATACCCTGGGAAAGAAAGAAGTAGCAGCTTTCAGTCACATACAGTCTCTCCTGCTTGATCCGGAGCGCGCGGTGTGGAGGGTACCGTGATGCCAGTGTACAGCGCAGGAATCGTGTGCAGGGTGTTGTGGGGCAGTGGTAGAAACAAGGGTTGAGCACCAGTCTCCTAGGAGAATGGTTATGTTTATGTGGTGGATTTGCTTTTTCTGCCATTGCTGGAGGAATCTGATGCCAGAGGATTCCGTTTAAGGAACTTGGAATTGTCAGCATGTACTGCCTGAGTTACAGGATTTTCCCACCGCCATTCATGACAGCCTGTGTACGCACGTGGGAGAGGGAGGCGCACCGTCCTCAACCTAGTCACACTATGGTCCCCTTTTGTCAGTCCTTTAGCCTGCCAGGATCCTGAGCAGGTGCCCGCACATGGTACATTTGCAGGCCAACTAGGCCAGGGACTTGATCACAGTGGACGTGTGGGTTCCAGCTCCATAGTCTGGTACACTAGTGACTACCACCAATGCTGTTTCTAAGTTTCAGGGTTCTTTTTTTATTTTTATTTTTAAAAGAGGTTTTTGCTATAGGGCACGTACACTCTCCAGAAAGAGACAGAGAGACAGAAAGCGAGAAATCACCCCCCAGGGGAGATGGCCACACCGCAACCCCTTCTCCATTCTCCTCTCAGGATGTGAGTTTAAGCCCCCGGGTCTGGGACTCTAACCGTGGTTGTCTACGTGGGAGTCCAGCGACATAGCCATTATGCTAACTGCTGTTCCCTAAGTTTCAGGGTTCTAATGTAATCAAACAAATTGCGCAAAGTACCTTTACAGGTGAAATGAGATGTTTGCTGCCTTCCACTAGTGACAGGCTACACGGCTGCAATAAAGTTTCAAATAAAAAATGTTCTTATATTATAAAAGCCTTATACAGGCCAGCAGGTTGTGCAGAGGTTAAAGCACCTGGATCCCACATGGCCAGCTATGCTGTTCAAGTCCCTGACTAGGCAGCTTGAAAATCACCAGAAAGAGACAGAGACAGAAAGCAAGAAATCACCCCCCAGGGGAGATGGCCACGCCGCAACCCCTTCTCCTCCATTCTCCTCTCAGGATCTTGGGCGGGCGTGAGTTTTCTGGGTACATGTACGTGCATGCCCAGAATCACAAGAGGAGGAAGGATTGCTAGGTGGCCATTCCCTCTAGGGGGTGATTACTCTCTTTCTCTGTATCTGTCTCTAGATAGCAAGCATAACCTTAGTTGGGGGACCAGCAGTTAGCGTAATGGATATGTCACTGGGTTCCCATGTAGTTCACCGCGGTTCGAGTCCCGGACTTGGTGGCTTAAACTCACGCTGGGTGCTTGTGCTTGTGTGCGTGCCCAAGATCCCGAGAGGAAAATGGAGAAGATTTTGCGGCATGGCCATCGCCCCTGGGGGGTGATTTCTCACTTTCTATCTTTCTGTCTCTCTGGCGAGCCGCACACACCCTATAGCAAAAACCTCTAAAAATAAATAAATAAATAAATAACCTTACTTGGCACATCACAGTAAAACTAGAAAATAAGGCCAACACTTTCCATCTAGAACCCCCCACCACCACCCCAAACATTATCTCTCATATTTTACATCTTTTCCTATACAGATCATATTCTCTAGGTTCTAAGACACTTCTCCCTGCCCCTTGTGTTTCTGAAAATGAAATGCACTTCACAATGTTAAATGAAACTTGCCAAGTGGCTTCCTCATCCGCAGCCCTCGAAGTCAAGTCAGTAGTACACTCTACTGTTAGCAGCTGAGCTTCGTGTCTGCTAAGGTGTGGCCTGGATGATCTCCAAGATTGCTTCCAGCCTATGAGGAGCTGCTTCAAAGACACCTGTGAAGCCATTCCTGACAGTTGGAAGGCAGTCCCAATAACAATTTGTTTATCACTCAGCTCATGT